TTACTGGGCTCTGTAAATTTCTGGGAAACATTTACGACGAATTTCTGAAGTTTGGGGAAACGCACAGGCCTAAAACTTGGAGAATTGTCTTATTTAGTTATCTTCTATAGCGTACATCGCAATTTCTTAGCTTTTTCCATTGGCTGGTTTTCGATTTACTATTTTTTTTTATTGCGTGACAGTGAAAACGATCTGAACCGTTCGAAGAACAAAACAGCAGCTCTGAAATATTTTTTTGTAAAATGATAAACATGCTTTTTAGTTCATAATTTTTGTATATGTTCTCACCTTCCTCTTATATAAATCCATGCCATTCCTTATTTTTTGATCGGGATCATTTGCGGTCCAATATGGGGATCATTTCCGGTCCGGGATCATTTGCGGTTCAATTTGGGGATCATTTGCGGTCCGGGATCATTTGCGGTCCTGGGATTATTTGCGGACCCGTACAGATTCGCAGCCTGAAAAAAAGTTTGAGTGGGGACGGCTGGTGTCGCAAGAAGCATGGAGTTACAGAAATTCATGGCTGTCAGATTGAAAGTTAACTTCTTCCTTTTGCTTCGGGTCACCTTACTAGTATCACAGGTGACCTTATCGGACACTTGTTTACGTCTTTTATCGATCGATGAAGTTGTTTCACCTCGTTGCAAGCTTCGCAAAACAGATGAATAAAATTAGATTGCTTAAAGTTTCATTTGTAAAAAACTTCTTTGAGTGAACTGAACTTGCTGTGTTTTGCTTACTATTATAGTAGGCTTTCCCCGTTCTACTGCTGGCCTTTTCTTTAATGACAACCGGCAAACCTGTTTACGCGACGGCAAGGCGTTGAAAGTTTTCCTTTGTACAGAATTTTGCTCTTTATGTGATACACAAGTAATTGCAAGTGCCCTCGGGCAATTAAGGATTAATTTCAGTTGTATTTTCAAAGTTTTCCAAATTGCCCTCGTCGCTATGCGACTCGGGAAATCTTGTGAACTTTGAAAGTACTCGTGTAATCCTTGATTGCCCTCGGGCCCATACGATTACATACACTAATCATTAATGTTTAGCAGATAAAGGCTAGGTTAAACTTTTCAAGGTTGTTCCAGCATGCCTGCTTGTTATTATTATATGAATGGTCACTATAAGAACGCGTGCCTCAAAACGTTTTGCCATATCTGTTTTTCCCCCGCTTCAGCGGAAAAAAGTTGGCTTCTCGCTACTCCCCGTTGTACAACTGATATTGCTTCTCCCGCTTGTACAACTGATGTTATTTTTACCCATATAAAAGCAGATCGATATAGGAATTCTCATAAAACACAAGCAAACACATACCCTGGCCTCTCTCTTCTCTCGCTTGGTCTGAGATCCTATAAAGAGCAGGGAAGGGAGAGATCAGGGGGGCAGGGCTACCTGGCTACTTACATGATGTGGGCGGCCAGCGATATATTTTAAAGAGAATTCCAAATTGAGGGCGAGAAAACGAAAAGAGCGTTTGGCAGTGATTCCGCAACAATTTCGAGGTTAAAGAGAATTGCTCAGACGCCTCTGATTTCTAAATCCTTTCCTTTTAACCAAATAACAGTTACGACAAAGAAAACGTAATACCTTCTAATACTGAGAGGTAACCGAGGTTGATTAAAGGTTAGAGCGTCAAAAGTAACTCGTTTATTAAAACAGATAAGAATAAACAACTCAATGACTTTTTGAGAAGGTGAAAAAACAGCTTAATCAATAACAGTATTCTGAATAAGTTTTAGACTAAGTTACTTTACAATAAACGGAGGCGAAATAATAAGGGAAATGTTGAAAGGCTCACGGCTTAATCGATAAATTTCTCCTCGCGCGTAGAATCTTATGAAGATATCATGAGTACCTATAGTCCTATTGCACTTTTCAGTTCAAATACATATTCCAATATAAACAGAACTGCTAGAAACCCCCTCATCTGCCATCTAAAGGTAAAGTTAATAATGAATCGAGTTTAATGTATAAGAACTGTGTCATGTGCCATTCTTAACAAAAGGCAATAAGGTCAAAAATAAAGAAAGGAAAGCTAACAATTTAGACACATCTCTCGTAAAATTATCCCATTGTCAACGACGCTCACTTAGATTCACTTATTAATTCTACAGAGGTAAACATATTTCTCAATATCCCTACTCTTGATTGCAAACTACAAAAATGTTGGTAGTTGAAATTTTTACTTTCTAAGAAAATTTTTGTTTGCAAAAATTAATTTTTGCTACAATTTTTGCTCAAGAGTTTTTGGTTTGGTCTTTTTTTCTTCTGGAGGTTAAGTTAATTCTTGCGTGTGTTTGTTATACCAAAATTCAATCCTGGATTATTCTGTATAAACAACAATTCTCCACAATCAAAGCAATCTCTAACGGTACAGTTTCTTACGGAAATGAAGTGTCACTTTCCTCTTGAGCTTGTTATGCAGAAGCTAATTTTCATCTTCCAAAGACACTTGAAATACAAGCTGCCGTAATTAAATCGGGAGTTCCTGGCACAGGTCGATAACTAACAAAAATTGAGCAACTGATGACATCTCTTTTTTTTAAAGTTTTTAACAACACAATATACTGTATCGCATACTAAATTAACTGGTTGTTACCAAACGTTGGAGTGAAGAAATATTTTCAGATCTCCAAAAAATTATGCGTAGATTCAAGGCCGCATTCTTTCTAGTTCTCTTTTTTTTGTCTTCATTTGTCCCTGAAAGCGAAAGTTACATCGGCGTTGTGGACTCAGACATCTACAACACAGTGACCAACTTTGCAAACGAGTGTGTTAAATGGAGGCATTTGAAATCGGCTGCTTTGAACCAATTCAGGCTCTGGAAAAAGCTAAAAAAGTTCAGGAAAAAGGTAAAGCTGTGTTTATTTTCTTGAAGTTATAGGAAATCATGAAAAGTCAGATGAGTTCTAGGGCGAGCACGTGCACGCATTGTGAACGATTAACGGAAGTTTAAAATAGCAAAATTCCAAGGCATGGGATTTTTTCGGTTTTTGTTAGTCATGTCCAGAAACTTGTGAAGTCAAAAATTAAGAAAAAAACATATATTGTAATTTAGGTGACATTAATGGTTTGGTCTAAGCGTAATAGATAATTTGGGGGCCTAGGAAAGAAAAAAATTTAAGTCCTTCTTCTAATTCAAGATCTTGAAGTTGAATATTTGTTTAGCAACTTACAACGGTCTCACTTGGATCAATGTAATCGAGTAGCTTATATTTTTTCACCCTGTTTGTGTTTGCGTTCCTCATTGGTTCCAACAACAATTATTTGAAAATACGAGACACTTCTTCCCTTTTTAATTTTGTTTTTCCAATGAGTTTGTCTCACAATTTTTAAAGCTTAGTTTGCAATATCCTTTTGTTTTTTTTTGCATTTCTCGATAGGTCAAATTCGAGGATGAAGTTTGCATTCAAATTAAAGAGAAGTATTGCCCATTGACCAGAGAAAGATAAATCGAAAGGCGACGGAAGCAGTCAAGAGGCTTTCACGTTATATTTATATACACTGCATCTACGTTATATGTATTTAAGGAAACTTCTTTCAGTGCTTTTACAGTGCATGTCATGGGCGTCACAACTGAGCTATCCTTATAAAACTCACTGAAATCAATGTATACGTTTGTGGATCTTCAATGCGTAAATAAACAAATGCGGAAAACAGTAAACATTGAAGTATTTAAATTAATGGGTAAAAAGACGCCGTTTTAGCATAAATATGGCAATAAGCTATGTCACAATGTAGCGTTGTTCGTAAATTCCATAAAGAGGACAGATAGAAATGAAGAAAACTATATACGAAGTTTACCTTATTTGAAAAGTGTCTCATGTAAACTTCAGTCGAAAACGTTCGAGTGCATTTTTTCTTATCTGTATTTAACAAGTAAAGAGGCCTTGACTGTGCTCTGTTCTGTTGCAAAGCAGGAAGAAAATGGTAGAGCACGAAAGATGTGTAGGGGGAAACACAAGATTACGCTAAGTGTTTACCGTTTTGTCTGAATCTAGTAAAACGTGTCATGTTAGCACAGTTTTAACACTACTTTTGTAAACAAATAGCTCCTTGTTATTTCGTTTTCCTGAGACATAGGGAACGTTTAATTTGGGTACGCTGTTTCAACCAATCCGAGCGCGCGTTATATCGAGCCACTATTATAAAAGTATTTGGCGTAGTTTTGTTGTTTATTGGTGCGATTTAGATGATAGGAGTCTAAATAACGTCGGGAATTATTTGTTTAGAGTGTAAACACAAACAGTTTTTACGATTGGAGAGAATTAGTTTTGCAGCTCACAAGAGATTTCATCGACATGATAATGGATCATTTTAACAGCTATGTCTACATTTTAAAGGCCCAAGCAAAAGGTTTCCGGCGTGATGATTTATGGATCTTAGAATCAAAATGAAAGACGAGTGAACAAGTGGAAATTTTTCGCTTTAGTTAGCACTTTTTAAGTTTTTTTTTTCTTTGCTTTGCAATGTCACCCGCCTCAGGAAACGTTTACTTTCGTTTGTAAACATTGCAAAAAATGTGTTTCTCAGTTTGTTTGAAAGCATTATAAGTTGATTCTTTTCGTAACCAGAGAAGGCTCTCACAGTCGGCTTGTGAAAGTCAATCGAGAAGATGCATAGCAAGAAGTGGTGCCTTTTTGTCGTTACCTTGACGATTTTCTTGGCAATCATGGACAGCGCTGAATCATACATCGGTACTATCTCAGGAGACGACATTGAAAGAAGAGCGAAGCAGTCTGAAAGAGTACCACTACGTGGCAATTCTGACACTTTCTCAAACAAGCAGAAGAGACTAAAAATGAGAAAAATGCCGGTAAAAAGGACCTTTTCATTGATAAAGATAATCTTTACTGGGCCTTTTAAGTAAGCATGTAGTTGTGTCAGTATAAGGAGAGAATTTACAGACGTGGAGCACTTGCCCAGTTTTCTTTGAATTGTATTAGCGCAAGTAAAATAAGACTCAGTTCAGTCTCTTCTTTATTCACGAATTTTTCTAACATGTAGTTTAACAACTGCATGTTGTCGGGAGAATATGTGGTTTTTTGAGTTGTCTCGTTACTGGTCTTTGAGAACTGATTTAGTCAAAGATTTTTTCTGAGACGTTACTAAACAACGCGAGGTAGGTACTTTTTAGAAGCTTTAGCTTCATGCAAAGGAAGGGAAGCCCATATTTACGAATCAGAACATAACTTCTTCCTTTTACTTCAGTGAAGAATAGAAATAAAATTTTGGGATACTTTATTAAGGTAACAGAATCTTGTTTGAATGGGCGTAAAACAAATGCTATAAAAAGTATTTACTTTAAAACGAAACCTGAGGACGAAATTAAGTGTGATTGCCCAATGTTTTTTGGTGACACTCCAGTGGATAAGGATAACCAAAATGGTGGTAGAGTAGATATACTGCTTGTCTTTATTGTGGTACTGAAACTAACAACCCATTTATTTCGGACTTTATGGGTTGTTAGGTTTAAGTGAAGACTTTATCTTCGCGTACGGTTCTTTGGAACCCTAAACCGGATGAAACCATAGACTTAAATCCTTCCTTGAACATTTCCCTCTAAATTTTTGCACCTTTTTTTTTTTAACAGGCCTCTGATGATTTTCTGGAATAAATAGACCGCTGCCCCACAGATGTTGGTTTTCCAAGAGATGGTGGACGAAGAAATCATAGTTGGAGTATTGGAATATGTATATTAGCAAATAAACCACTAAAGTCAAATAAACTGTTAACATATTTCCTGGCTGAGTAATGAACACCGAAATAAAAAAAAAAGGACCCTACAGGTAAATTTTAGTTTTTCGAGTTCCACCCTTTTTAAAATTAGTGCGACCAGAACTTACAATTCTGTTTGTTAATTGTAGAGTAACACTGAATTTAGAGGTAAATTTTATTAGGATGTATAACAATTTTCGGACTTTTCTTCCATTGAAAGGTTTAACAGGGCTCCGGTGGTAATCATCTCATAACTAATGAGAAGGCCATCGGTTGAGGCGCGAATTTTTAAGGTTTTTGTCTTCGCCTTGTTAAACTGCAAAAAAGTAGGTGAAAAATTCGCAATATTTTTACATCAAAGTTATAGTTAATATATTCATTATTTTTCACACAGTTTTCCTTGAAATCGAGTGATTGTGATACGAAAATGGAAATTAAACAAACTACACATGACTACTTTAACCGAAAGAGGATATGGTTAATTTTTCGACAGAAGTAAAAGAAGCTCCACATTTTGTTTTAATTTAGAATGCAAGCCAATCAAGGTAAACAATGTTTAACCTAAAAGCGAGTAAACACAACAGGCTAGGCTGACAGGGCCATCAACCAATAAGAAATCTCCATTCCTGGCTCAATATGTCAGTATTGGATCGGATGAAACTTAACCGACATTGCTGTGGCTCGCATAGTGAAAAAAAAAAAGAAAAAAAAAGGCGTTTTTTTCTGTTTCCTTCCTTTTTTGTTGTTGAAAAGAATTTTTTTTGCAACTGTTGTAAGGCTTTTAAATTAAGTTCTATTTGAACTTACTTTCTTCCATTTAGCGGTCAGTTTCACAGCTTCTTTTCAGCAATGCTGAATCAGGTTCATGTCCCTATGAAATGATTTTCTGCATTTTCTGCAAGCTTGCTTCATAACATCTGTCAAATCACACTTGTAACTGAAATCTGAAGTTCATAGTGTTGCCTTTTACTAGAACGAATGAGAGAAATAGCATACTGCTACCACTAGAAAGAGGCGCTCGTTTTCTGGAACGTCGCTGTTGTGACTTTAATTTGCCCCGGCTACTGTAGAACTTATCAAGTCTTCAACTGGAATTACAGGACGCGACTGTTAACTAAAATCGTGAGTTAAAAACTGTTCAGTATTGCAGACATTAACCCTGTCGTAACATTACTAAACTACTGAGTAAAATATGAGCAGTATAGTCTGTCAAATCAATAACATACAGGTAAAGCATTGCCTTAATTAAAAATAACGGTCAATAGTTTAATCTACGTCAAAACCTGCCTAATGAAGTGTTCAATTAGTGGCAAACTTATGTTGTTATACTTCATTCAACGTAGAAACGTAGAAATAACCTTCAGGGATCACTGTTGACGTTTATTTGGTACATCTATACTTCAAGACAAAATTCCCTACTTTTCCATATTATTCTCTCCCATTTTTATCAGTTTCACTGGCATTGACATGGGTGGATCCATCCGATTTTGGACACTATAGAAAGAATGGATTAATTTTCTCATGTAAAATATTTATTTTTCTCGAGGGTAAGAGGATGTATCATTCACAAAATGCGATTATCGATATTTACACAAAGTAAAAAGCGTTACGTGTGATATATAACATTTGGAAAGATTCGAGAATCTGATTAACACTAAGAAAATTTCATAAGTTTTGCAATAAAAAACTTCGCCCACATAAGGCTAGTGAATAAGAAAAACTCGCTTTAAGTCGAGTGCCAATAAAAAATCGCTAGATTAATTAAAAAAGCTCATATGCCAACGGAAATCAGCATCCACTGAATGGCTAATAACTATCACTAACACACGTCCCCAGCTTGCTACTTGTTCCGTCCAAAAAAAAAAAATTCATGCCACATCCAATGTGACCACACAACACAACAACAAGTAAATTCAAAGTGATTTCTGTTCGTTGTAGTTATATAGTGGAAGGCCAGGAAGGATGAATAGAAACCTTGCTGCAGTGGCCACAGTTCTGGTTCTTCTTTTATCGCTAGTGATCCAGAATTCAGCTTATATAACACTTATAGAGAGACGACTCAAACTTTGTAGAAGCGGCTCACGGGAAGATGACAGCAGAGTTCGAAGGTGGGGTTGGTGGGGCCCGAATTCACCACTTCAGGTGTGTATTAGTCACAGCTTTGAAAAAAACCTTCAGTTTTCGTTTAGAGTACTGTTATTAGAAAAAGCCTAGAATACTGCTAACTAGAACCTTGTTACTTTTTATTATGTGCTTAATTGAACGTACATGTAACGTTTAAAATGAAGAGTTTTCGTTACACGACTGCGAGCTTGGATGAAGTTTTTTTTTTATGATAACTATGATAGGTTATAGCGAACAAATCGAATTTTGGGGGAAAAAAGCCACTGGGTATAGACAGGTGGTCTTGGACAGACGGCAGAGGGTCATTTGGCGGATTAAGAAAATATCTCTATTTTGGTCAATTTTTGAACATGAAGTTCGTTCTCCTATCAGCGTTCAACATCACGCATGGCATACCATTGATAATTTTCGTTGATTAAGAAATTTCAACCATTTATCACGGGCGTTTTAAGCCGTACGAGGAGCCAGGAACCTGCGAGAAGACCTAAATTACGTTACTGACCACATAAAAGGTGCCGTCAAGATCGAAAACCCTCAAAGGTGTAAGAGAAAAAACAACAACAAAAAAATAAAACAAAACTTGCCGACTTCGATTTAAGCTGTCCCCGAGTGTAAACATCAAATGCAGAGTAATATTTCCGCAGTATTTAGGCAGTTCTTGTCTATCTTTGCAACAACTACGACCAAAAAACTAAAACTAAAATAGAATATTTGCTACATAACGAATTCGAACGAAGAGAATCAGACTACAACTTTATTGAAAAAATAAAAACAAAATAAAAACAAAAACAAAAACAAACAGATCGCAAAATTGAATTGTTGACGGCACCCCAAAGTTTTAGTCAGATCTACTTAATTTATTTTAATCTTATCTAATTTATTCCATCCGCGTATTACTTTATGCTTCCTCATGTTTTGTATTATTATACAGTTTCAAAAGGTAACTGTCATGTTTTATGTAAGAACACTTTGGTCTGCATAGTGATGCATAATGTCGTATCATTTGGTCTCTTAATGGGTTTTATTTTGAAGAAACCACGCTTTGTTAGTTAGTAGGTTTTAGCAATGTGTCTAGGTATAAGCATAGTTTATTGTTTCTCACGTCATTGGCGATAAGCAATACCAAGGAACTGTAATGGACACAAAAATGCATATCTGCATTGTTTGTAGAATGTGGTTGAAATTGATGGACTCAGCAGTGCAACTAGTTAACTTTTGCCAACTTCTTCCTCTTTTTTTTTTTTTTTACAGCGACAATGTGACAGCTATCGGGCTATTCTCTGCAAAGGCCACATAGCTCCAGGTCTAGAAGGAAAAGCTCCTATCAATCCTACATCACTTCCATCAGATTCTCCAATTCCGCCCTCGCTGCCTTCAAATCTACCCTCGCTGCCTCCCCTTCCACCCTCGCCTTCTCAACTTCCACCCTCGCTGCCTCCCGCTGAAGCTCTTCCAAAGTCGAGAAAGAAAAGGAAGGAATTCGAGACTGTTAATAACGTCGTCAAAGAGTAAAAGATCTTCCTCCCCAAAGAAACAGAGACGCCATGAAGCGGACATAGTTCAATGAACTTAAAAATGATTCTGATAATGTTACTCACTTAGGAAAAATAAAATAGAATGTATTAAAATGCCAGTAATGAAACGGATTGTGGTATTTGTTTACAAAGCATGTTTATGTTATTCAGATTTACAAGTCAATGAAACAAAGGAACTCTTTCCCTGTCAGCTTTAGCAACTACGCTAAGCATCAAGCTGAAATTCCCGTTTGAAAACAAAATATTATGGCAGCATGTTTTCAATCATATGCAAAGTTACTAAGGCCCATTTTTCTATACCTAGAATTAAATCATCAAACGTTCATGCCATTATAAAGGAAATAACCAGAAACAGAAAACCTCCACTTTGACATAAGATGGGGAGAAAAGCTTTGCCTGCCACATATTCCTTTCATTCTTCTTGTTGATGCCAGGCGATTCCTAATTTGCTTGGTTCGAATACGTAGTACAAAAATGAACTGATATTAAATTCTATGTTTGATCTGTAGGTGATTTACCCCCACTAAAATCTGACTTTAACGAATTCACAGAGAGTAGTATATATATAACGTCTCTTTCCAATATTGTTTTCAAAACGAGTTTCCAAAAGGTTCACTCTACAGGTGTACCGGACCGTCGATATCTGAAGAGCTTTTCTGTAAAATCATGACACTCAGCTAAATCAAATGACTTTGTAACAGCTCCCAACTCAAATACGTTTACCGGCTAGAAGAGCCCACGTCACGTGTCATGGGTCAAGACTCAAACAAAAGCAAAGGGAAACAACGACTTGAGCTTGCGAATCGCACTTGATCTCGTCGTTCACCTTGAAAATGCGGCAAATTTGTTTGCCAGCCTGCGTCAAGCAGTAATGTTTTCGCAGCTTGTTCTATTTTTGAGTTGGGAGGTATAACACAGCACTTAAAAACTGGCCCCACGGGAAACAATGGGTTGTATTTCTCCTCGCTTAACTGCAACGCAACTATGGCTCATAATGTCCTCCGTTGAACCGTCCATATTCTTAGGACATGCAACTGTAGTGTGACGACTGAAAACTTATATAAATATACAAACTGCGACAAAACTAACTTCTGCACGCAGAGGGTCGACCTTGTTCGGAACAGTAAGACTTATGACTCTCTTATGAAGACGTGACTCCTGTTTAGAGAGAAACTGGGATAAAATACGTAAGACATATGTGGCAGCATTTAAAGTGGGCCAGACTGATGGTCACTTCATTGCATGGTCTACACACTAAAGCATTTATTGTCCCCAATTACGGCGAAGATTGAGTGAACCTGGCTGCGGGATGTTTCGTGAACACTGCAACTGTTGCGAAATTACATCTTAAAATCAAAAAAGCAACTGATATGTCGAAGAAAAAATATTCGAAGAATGAGTAATAAAATCACTTTTCGCGCTAAAATGTACGGCACCTGCTGCCTCACTCAGTATGATAGCCACAGTTTAAATTAGTCACCAGGTAACATAATACAACAGCTCAAAGCAAACAGACTACTCAATGCATTTTATGGCTTTTGAGCATTTTCAGAATTATTCCTCTATTTAAGACGGAAGAATTAATGGGACTAAAAGGACTGAGTTTTAAACAGGCATTTTCCTAAGTACTCTTATCTCCGGAAATAGAAACGGCTTCTTTTATCCCTTCCGGGGTAGGAAATAGATGCTACTATTAATAGATGAGTAGGAAAGAAACATGGAAGCGCTTCCATACCAAAACCAAAGGTCAGCACTTAAGAAAATTTTTACTTCTTAACTGAGTAACATTGACATCGATATGATCCAGGGTTTCTTCGGCTTACACAGAGGTTTTGTTATCCTTCGAAATCCATGTTGTTTTCAATATATATTTTGCTTTTCTTGTTCACTTTTTCTTTCTTTGTGTCATCTTTTCGTTTGCCCGGACTAATGGGACGACAAAAAGATTTTACCATTCCAAGGAAGACAATAATTTATAACATCGGCGGCTTTTTACAATAACCTTCTCAATATGTTTTACGAAGCACTTAGAGGCCGTAAATTGAATTTCACTTATTATGCAATAACACTTTTTTAGTTGATGAAGTTTAAAAGCAAAGGATATCTTGCTGGCAGACAAAAGAGGGTTCTATTTTCTGATGTTTGCTCAGTGACAACTTGAGTCCTTCACTTTGTCCTACCTACATTATCAACTGGTTATTATATTTATTTCGAGAATGTCAACGCCTTTGACACAAAACTAGAGCAGAGTTTTTATGACTTCTTAGGATATATGAAAAAAGTAAAAAAGAAAGAAAACTTGTAAAACACCATTATTAACGGAGCAATATCTAAATACTGTATTTTCAGTTTCGAAGTGTTCCCTTTATGCTTGATTAGTATCGATTTTGTTGCACTTACTTGTTTTAACACAATACATCCTGTTTTCTTTTCATTAATCAACCTTTTTTGGGATTTTTAACTAGCTGCGGCCTTCAAACACGAATATCATTCCTCTTTTTTGTTTGTTTTTGAATTTTGTTGTCTTTTTGACGAAAAAATACCTATTTTCGGAACAATGAAAATCTATATAAAAAAAGAACAATTATGGAAAATAGTAGTGCCATAGTATCTCTTCGTTTGCCCACACTCAACAGACCATTAAATAAAGAAACGCGAACAACGGCTTAAAAGTTCGTTTTGCTTTAATGCACTTAGTACACTTTGGAATGAATTAAAAATGACTTTTTAGAATCACTGAGGGAAGTCTTTGTCAACACATGCAAAAGGCAGGAAGGTTTATGTCACCACTTCTATGTGTCACAACTAGCAGCAAAACAGCTCAAGACGTTTTATGACGAAAATTCATCTGACGGGTGCCTCCTGACTTGAACAAATACTTAACTTTCATCCCATTAGTAATTGTTTGAGAAAGCATTCGGTAACACGATGCATTTTTTGGGGGGCGTCATGTGAGCCATTATAATGGGACGGATACACCGCGTCCTTCACTTTAGGACAAGACCGCAACGTAACCATGCTAAGAAAATTTATAACTACTCTGTTACTGCTTAGTTTCATTATCTACCAGCAGTGCATTGTTAGTACCGACGCAGTACATAGCACATGGCCACTCAGACGACGAAGAGGAAAGAGAACTTTCAAAAACGTAGAGGTAACGAGCGTCTATACCGTGGTTAAGAACGATTTTAATGATCGACTTTATAATCAAAATGGCTGAAACGTTTTGATCATTCCAAGGAAGAGAGGTTGCGCTTCTTCGTTTCCAATTTAAAACGCTACAGCCATTTTCAATCTAAGTCGCAACGCTGTCCCCTTTGAGCACCTCTTATACCATTGCCACCAATAACTTTCTACGGCGGTCTTTGGGTTTCATCGTCAGAGTTCTTTAGCTTTGTCTGTCATAAGACAACAAGGAAAAGGTCCATTGCTAAACAGTAATGACTGCCACTGAAAACTGAGTACAAGTCATTAAATTTTTAATAACTGAGATGTGCAGGCTGATATAAAACGTAAAAAAAACGCTATTGACGTTGTTCCCGTTTCGAAGAATCTGGTAACATTACCGACTATTCACAATTCTTTGCTATTTTTTCCGAGTGACCATTCTTTTATATTTCATGTCGACTGATTCTTTGATCTTTGCTAGTCCATACGGTCAAAGAAGGAAACCACCAGAAGAATTAAAAGTAAAGCAACGCGTCGCATCAAAGTGTTTCATATATAGTTGTCTTTTAAAACTGGTCTGTGCCAAGTGAACTGTATTCCCATTCTATTTTCTCTTTGCTTTTAATCTTGTCGTTGAGGTTTTTCTCATCAGTTTAAACAATGGGCATTTAGATAATGGTGCAGTTTACTTGCCTAACATTTTCTCCAAATCCCCATCTCGTTCCTCGTTCATGATTCTTCGTGGAACCTCCACAAATTAATAATAATAAAAACGATACGACATTTCTTCTATTTAGATTCCTACAGATAACAAAACCATTCGTCAACTACTCATAACCAAATAATGAACATTTCGTATTTTAAAATTTATTTCAGGAGACACGAGTTTATATCGAGCCCACAGTGGAGCCTTTGACGCCTGGACGAATTTGTCAAGATCCTGATAGTTACGGATGTGAGACCCAAGAGTAGACCCCAGTTGTACATTCTATAATGGCAAGGAATGCCCCTTGAAGCTCATTAATAAAAAAAATATTGGATGTAATCAGACTTTTAGTGTGAAAAGTAAAACTTATATTTGTTGAGAACGTATTTCATTCAAATATACGTGGATTGGCCTTTAATGAAGTGATCTTATCTGTGTTTTAAGGTTCCTAGCAACAAACTTCTGTTTCCTCGAATTAATCTTTACCCCAAGTAAACGTAATAGATAGCCATCTTTGAGAGTTGTCTCCAGAAAATGGAATCAAACGTTCAATAACTTCTTTTAAGCATGAAAACCAAACATCCCTGTCCCCTTCGAGAGAATGGGTCACCTTCGAGATATCATTATTTTAACCAGGAGCCATAATCGGGGACGGAGACCGTAAGTCTTATGATCCGCGCGCACCTATGATATGGGACAATTTTTCTATTTTTAGAACAAATTGT